GGAAATCTACTCTTATGGAAGTGCAGAGAATGTTGTCTGAAAGATTAAACAAGTGGAAGTAAAACGAACTGGATAAAGACTTGTATAGGAACAAGTTAGAGAGACATGGTGCAAGAGCAGGGGAGTAGTACTAATGGGACAGCTCGTTCTAAAAGCTGGTACAGACATATGCATCAAATGGTCTCACTCCATGCTGCATAATGCTATGATTCTGTGTATATTTAAGAAACAATGAAGGCAATCCAAATCTCTTTTAAAAAAAAAGAGCTTGTATTTGTGAAGCATTTTTCAATACCTCAGAAAGTTCCAAAGTGCTTTTTATTTGATGAAGTACTTTCTGAAGTGTCATCATTGTGGTCACACAGAAAATGCAGAAGTCAGTTTGCACACAGCAAGATCCCACAAACAGCAATGAGATAAGCTTTGTTGACTGAGGGGTCAATATTAACTAAAATGGTAGGGAGAACTCATCTGCTCTTTTTTGAAGCGGGGCCAAGGGATTTTTTGCATCCACTTGAGACAGTAGATGGGGCTTTGCTCCAATGACTCATTCAAAAATGAACACCTTATGGAGTGCAACATCTATTGGTCTTGAAATATGCATGAGAGCATCCCCGCCTCTTCGACCTGTTTGTTTCCTCTCCACCTATCCTCTCCTCTATCCCTCTTCTATCCGCCTCCCACTCTCTCCCTATTTATTTCAGAACCCCCTTCCCCTCCCCCTTTTCTGATGAAGGGTCTAGGCCCGAAACGTCAGCCTTTCTGCTCCTATGATGCTGCTTGGCCTGCTGTGTTCATCCAGCCCTGCACCTTGTTGTCAGAGGTAATTACCATTTGTTTTGCCAGTAACTAACAGAATGACAAGCACAGGAGTCAGCCATATGGCACATTGTGCCTGGACTAGTTTTTTGAGAGAGATAACCAATTAGAGATCAGAGAGAGAGAGAGAGCCACACAGCATCAAAACAGACCCTTCGGACGAACCAGTCGATGCCGACAATGTTTCCAAACTAAATTAGTCCCACCAGCCTGTGCTTGGCCCATATCTCTCCAAGCCTTTCCTTTCCATGAACTTATCAAAATGTCTTTTAAATGTAACTGTACCTGCATCCACCACACTCTGTTAAAAAAAAAGTTGCTCCATATTCTTTTTAAATGTTTTTTTCTCTCACCTTAAAAATACGTCCCCTAGTTTTGAACTTCTCCACCCGAGGGAAAAGACCCTTATCATTCACCTTATCTATGCCCCTAATGATTTTATAAATCTCAGTGAGGTCATTCTTCAACTCCTATGCTCCAGTGAAAGAAGTCCCAGCCTTTTCAGTCTATTTTTATATCTCAAGCCTCCTCCCATTCCTGGCAACCTCCTGGTGAATCTTTTCTGAACCATCTCCAGCTGAATAATATCTTTCCTATACCAGGGTGACCAGGCCTCACCAATGTCCTGTACACCCTCAACATGTGTCCCACTTCCTATACTAAAAACTTTTAGCAGTGACAGCAAGCGTGCTAAACACCTTCTTAACCACCCCGTCCACGTGATAAAAAATTTCAAAAAATTATGCACCTGAACCTCTAGGTCCCCCTGTTCTCCAATTTTGGTGTCATCTGCAATCTTACTAACTGTGATTCCTACATTCTCATCCAAATCATTCATATAAATAACAAATGAAAGCGGACCCAGTACTGATGTCTGTGGAACACTGCTGGTCACAGGCATCCAATCCAAAACACAATCCTCCACCACCACCCTCCATCTCCTACCATTAAGCCAATTTTGTATCCAATTGGCAAGCTCACCTGGAATCCCATGTGATCTAACTTTACTAATTAGTCTACCATGCGGAATGTTGTCAAAGGCTTTACTAAAGTCCACGTAGACAATGTCTACCACTCTGCCCTCATCAATCTTTCTGGTTATTTCATTAAAAAACTCGATCAAGTTTGTGAGACCTGATTTTGCTTGCATAAAACATGCTAACTATACCTAATCAATCCTTTCCTCTTCAAATGCATGTAAATCCTATCTTTCAGAATTACCTTCAACAACTTATTCACAAGTGATGTAAAATTCACAGGTCTATAGTTTCCAGGCTTCTCCTACAGCCTTTCTTAAACAATGGCACAACATTATCCAACCCCCAGTTCTGGGACTTCACCTGTATTGACAGGTGATACAAATATTTCTGCTAAGAATTTCTTGCATAACTTCCAACAACATCCTTGGATACACTTGATCACGTCCTGCAGATTTAAGTCTACCTTTAAGTTTTCTAAGTCCTCCAGCACTTTTTTTATAATGTGAACCGTTTTAAAAAGATCAATATATATTTCCCTGAGTCCTCCAGCTTCCGCTTCTTTCTTAACAGTAAAAACGGATGAAAAATATTCATTTAATATTTCTCCCCTCTCCTGAGGTTCAACACAAAGATGACCTTGTTGATCTTTAAGGGGTCCATCTCTCTGTCTATTTGTTCTCTTGCTTTTAATGTACTTGTAGAATCTTTATGGATAATCTTTAACCTAATCTGCCAAGATTGTCTCATGTCCCCTCTTTGCCTTCCTGATTTCCTTCTTAAGATTGCCCCCACACTCTTTTAACCCTTCAAGAGATTCAGTTGATCCCAGATGTCTATATCTAAGATATGATTCTCTTCTATTCTTGACTAGAACCTCAATATCTTTAATCATCCATTGTTCCCTAATCTTACCTTGCCTTTCACTGCAGCAGGAATGTAATGCCTCTGAACTCTTGTTACCAGACTTTTCAAGGCCTCCCACTTGTCAGTCATCCTTTTACCTGCAAACAGTCTACTCCAACCAGCTATTGAAAGTTCTTGTTTCATGCCCTTGAAATTTGCCCTCGTCCAATTAACAACTTTAACTGTTGTGGAAGATTTATCCATTTCTATAAATATTTTAAAACTGATAGTATGACGATCACTTGTTCCAAAGTGTTGCCCTACCAACAGTTCACTTGCCCTGCCTTATTTACTAAGAGAAGGTCAAGCTTTGCTCCTCTAGTAGGGATGTTTACATATGGATAAAGAAAATTTTCTTGAATACACTTCACAAATCTGTCACCATCCAAACCTTTAATACTGTGGCAGTGCCAGCCAATGTTTGGAACACTAAAATCCCCTACTATTACAACTTTATTATTCTGACATATATTTGAGGTCTCTCTACATATTTGCTTCTCAATTTCGCTCTGACTATTGAGGGGCCTATAGTACAATCCCCATGAGGTGATCATCCCTTTCCTATTGCTAATTTCAACCCATATATTTTCATTAAATGATCCCTCAGAAGTATCTTCACTAACTGCAGCAGTAATGTTTTCCTTAATCAAAAATGTCATTCTCCCTCCTCTCTTGCCTCTCTATCCTTTTTTTAACATCTAAAATCTGAAACATTGAGCCGCCAGTCCTATCCTTCCCTCAGCCAAGTTTCTGTAATAGTTAAGATGTCCCAGTCACTTGTTCCCATACATGTCCTGAGTTCATCAGCCTTACCTATAAGACACCTTGCATTGAAATAAATGCAGTTTAATTCTTCAGAGTTACTTTGTTCTCTGACTTGCTATTGTCTGTCTTTTCGAATTAACTGCTCTTTTCTGATTCAAAACCATTCTCGTCTTTCTTTTTATTTTCAGTTTTCCTCAGGAAGCCCCCACACTCCCTCTCCAAAAGTTTACAGGCTGCTGAAATACGTCTAGTAAATCTCCCCACCAGGATATTGGTCCCTTTCCAGTTCAGGTTCAGTAGAGATCCCGATGATAGAAGAAACTGAATCCATGCACACTGCAACACCTCATCAGCCATTGATTTATCTCCCATATCCTTTTATTCCTTCTATCCTTCCCTCATTAGAACTTGGCATTGGAGGTTATCCAGAGATTATTACTTCTGATGTTCTGTTTTTTAACCTTCTGCCTTAACCTTTTCCCAAACTATGTCATTCCTACCAATACGTACAACAACTTCCGGGTTCTCACTTTCCACTTTGACAATACGCTTCAAACATTCTGAGATGGCCTTAACCCTGACACCAGGAAAGCAACATACTATTCTAGATTCACACTCACTGCCATAGGATCTCCTGTCTGTGCCCCTGACAGGACAGTCCCCTATAACAATTATTCCTTTAAATTTTGACAAACCCCATTTTACATAAGGTTCATTCTTAGGGCGCAAGATCTGACTACCAATTCTACTTTCCTCTGAGAGACAATCTCTTTCAACAGTGGCAAAAGCTGAATATCCGGTTGAGAGAGGAATAGCCTCAGAAGACTTCTGAACTACCTTCCTACCTTTCCTGACAGTCAACCAATTATCTGACTGATCCAGCTGTGTAATCACTTCTCTAAATCTACGAGGCAACACACTCAGTGTCTCTTGTATGTCATCAGTGACATTAAGCCTAAAAATTTATCCCACAGCCCTGCTGTCACCCCTATAAATTTGCTCCATTAAAGCAATGGACATGTATTCCACATAATCTTTGAAAGAACCACATGTCTTTGGATAACTAGACAATAATAACGTCATTCTAAACAGTGTACTTAACAAACAAAACCTCCCAAGGTGCCTCACATGAGCATTGCAAAACAAAGTATGATGACATTGAGTCATGTAAAAAGATATTCAGTAGATAATCAAAAACCTGGTCAAAGGGATAGATTATCATCTTAACATTTTAAAGGAGGAAAATAAGGTACAAAGGCGGCAGGAGAAGAGAGAATGATGTATCGGATGGCAGAGAGGATTTTAAACTGAGTAGTGGTGGCAAGGGATCTGGTGAGATGTGACATATTAGAGAAGGCAAGGAGAGAGAGCAAGGCAATACTAAGGTAATTGATAATCTGAGTCTGGCAGAAATATATAGAATCGACAAACTTAACAGTGTGTCAGCAGGTAAGGGTAGAGGTTGCCAAAATAATAAAAAGACAAAATTAAAGGAAAAGTTAAGATCAGAAAACACATACATTTCACCAGGACAGCTTTGAACAGTGGCAGTATCGTAGCCGATGAAGTTTAAATGAGACATGATTATTGCTTATTGAAAAATATGAATTGACAGCAAAAATGGATGTGAACAGCATCATTGAGTTTCCATTCTGATGATATGCTTGCATGGTGACCAAGTCTTGGAATTGAATGTCTGAGGATAATCAACATTTAGGAAGGACAGGCAGAAAGGAAAAGGAGGTGTTGTCATGTTGTTAATAAAGGATGAGATCAGCGCATGAATGTGAAAGAATCCTAGATCAGTTGAACAAGATGCAGAATCATTTTAGGTGAAGTGGAAAAAAAATCAAGGGACAGAAAACATGAGAAGGAACTAAAAAATTAATCAAATTTGCTTCTAACTTCCATTCTTCCCTCACCTTTACCTAGTCCATCTGTGAACCTTCCCTTCTCTGACTTTCTGACTCCATTTCCAGGGATATGCTGTCGGCTTACATTCATCATAAACACAGTAGCTGTCACAGTTCTCTCAGAAATGTATGAATCACATAAGTGTTTTGGTACTGAAGGCAATTCAGGCCATTGTGCCTGCATTGCTGATACTCCAAACCATACCTCTTCATACCCTGCTTCCTGTAAGGACTTCATTCCATTCCACCAGGTTCTCTGCTTCCACTGCATCTGAACCAAAGACGTGACCTTCTGCAGTGGCGCTTCCGACATGCCTTAATTTTTTCTCAACTGAGGACCATCCTTGCCACTCTAGTTGATGGAGCATTCAGCTATGCCTGACCCATTTGTTTTGCACTTGCACCCTCCCCTTTTCCTCCCTCTGCGAGCATCACATTGTGATTCTCCCTGTCCTCAAATTTCATCTGTAAAGCCTCCATATTTAGAGGAAAATCCTCTACCATTTCTGACAACTCCAGCATGATGTCAATCACCAAGCAGTGATCACTGGGACCTTAAATCTATAATCATATAGACTGGGTAAACCTAATCAGCACCAACACTGTGGGAGACAAATAGTTGGAATGAGAAGATCTTATACATATATTTTCTGAAACAATATGTTGAGGGACCAACTAGACAATCGGGTAGGTTAGATTTAATACTGTGCATGAGACAAAAAAAAATTAATAATCTCAGTCAAAAGAAGCGTCTTGGGAAGAGTGACTATAATTCAGTAAAATATGGCATGAAGTTTGAAATTGATATTGCACAATCTAAAATTAACATTTATATCTAAACAAAGGATGAGGTAATTGACTTTTTTTCTTTGAGAAGCTGCATTAAAAGTTATAACAGTAGACAGGCAATGGCTAGCATTTAAAGAGCTAAAACATGATTGAACAACAAATTTACATTCCTTTGAAGCATAAAAACCCATAAGGAAAGGTAAGAGAACCATAGCAACAACTTTTTATGCCTTGCTCTGTCTAATGATCTGTATATCCTTGTTTGCTACGATCTGCTTGTACTGCTCACAAAACAAAACTTTTCACTGTACTTAGGTATATGTAACTACAATAAGTCAAATTAAGTCAGAAGTTCAGGACTGCATGAGAGCAAAGGAAGAGGCTAATAAAGTTGCTAAAAAAGTTGTAAACCGAAGGATTATAAGCAATAAGACCAATAAAAGGAAAACAAAGACAAAGTAGAAAATGAAAGTAATTTGCAAGAAACATAGAAATAGATTGTAAAAGCTTTAATAGATACGTAAAAAAGAAAATAGAGGTTAAAAACAAATGTGACTCCACTTGGCAAAGACAAGATAACTTAAAATGTGCCTGCCTTCGTAAAGGAAGGTACAGATAATTTTCCCAGAATACGATAGAACCCTGGGATCAGTGCTAATGAGGAACTGAAAGAAATTGCATGATTATAAAAGGCATAAATTGATGGGTCTGAAAATTTATAAATCCCTTGGACCTGATGATCCAGTTCTCAGCAGAGTGTTGAAAGAGCTACGTACAGAGATAATGGATATGTTGATGGTCACTTTCCATAATTCCACTCCTGGAACAGTTGTTGAACCTTGGAAGATAGCAAATGTAACTCCCCTATTTAAGAAAGGTGGTATAGAGAAAAGGGGGACCTACAGACCTGTTAGTTTGACATCAATTGCAGGGAAAATGTGAACTTGTTTTCAAAGATGTGACATGATGGAGCTGAAGCAACCTGGATGAAAACAAAATCGTGTGTTTGATAAATTTATTAGACTTACACAATAGAATCGGGGAACCAGCAGGCATTGTGCATTTGGATTTTCAATGGGCTTTTGGCATATTTTACTGTCACCTCTGTGCTTGCTTATGGTCAAGCAAATATCTCTGACCAAGGGCCACCGGACCCGAAATGTTAACTCGGATTTCTCTTCACAGATGTTGCCAGACCTGCTCAGCTTTTCCAGCAACATCTGTTTTAAAAAGCAAAAACTTGACTGATTTCCCTTAATTCTGGCCTTGTGTGCATTTTTAATTATTATAGTGCCACCATTTCTGGCCATGACTTTCTGTGAACATTGTGTTTCACCATGGTCTTTATATGAAACTTGAAAGGTGAGAATACTGATTTGATCAGTTATACTGGCAACTTCCTGTGTAAACAGAGGTCTATCACATTATTGTGGTTGGTGACCAGGAGACAGTACTGTATCTCTACTTTAAGCTCTGATGTACCATCAGCATTACCACAGGATATATACTAGTTTATAGAGTAAATAAATAAGAAAGTGTTGCTGCAACTGTACAAGAGTGAGATTGCACCTGGAGTACTGCGGACAGATTTGGTCCTCTTGCTTGAGGAGGGATGTGGTTGCATTGGAGGCAGATCAGAGGAGGTTCACTGGATTGATTCCAGATGAAGGGTCTGTTTTCTGAAAAGAGACTGAGCATTTCAGCCTATACACTCTGGAGTTTAGAAGAATAAGAGGAGATTAAATTGAGGTAGATCAGATTCTAAAGGGGATTGACAAAGTAGACACAGAGAGGATGTTTCCCTTTGTGGGGCAAACTAGAATGAGAGGTGATAGTGCTGGGGAAGAAGTGGCAGATTTAAAAAAGAAATGAAAATAAATTACTTCTGTCAAAGGGTTGTGAATCTGTGGAAATCACTAACCCACAGTGAAGTGAATGTTGGGACAGTGAGTAAATTTGAGGAGACAGACAGATTTTTAATTTGTGATGGTTGAAGAGTCACGGACCGTGAACAGGAAAGTTGAGTCGGGGCTGAGATTAGATCAGTCATGATCACATTGAATGGCAGAGGAGGCTTGAGGGGCTGAATAGCCTAATCCTGCTCCCAGCTCTTATATTCTGGTTTATGCAAAGTACCTAATTCTTGAAAACGCAGGAGAGTGTCTTAATCTGGATGAGAATTATTCACCTAAGACCTTTTCTCCTACATTGGTTTGGGAAACCCCTTGCTCTGTACCATTTGTATTTCAGTTATTTGGGTTTTCTTTTTCTTCTTGCTTTATCTTGAAATTAACATTTAGACTTTCAAATGGATACTGAAGTTACATTTCATTGCAATAGAAGCACAACCAACTACTACCTGCCTTGTGACATCTGGCTGGATAACCACCACCATTACAACCTGTGCCTCTACACCCACACCTCTTGCCCAACTCTCACCCTGTTGTGTGAAAAAAGGACTATTTTGGTCCAAATTCAGAAAAAGTAGACAGAAGAGAGGAGTTCATAAACTTTTAACACCTATGAGTGTTAAAAGACACATGAGCAATTGGCTATTCAATATTCATATTGAAATTCATTCTCAGCTGGACTTATTTCAACAAATGTGCAGCCTTTCAAATTGTGGGAAGGCAAATACTTCCTTCTCTGTCAGCAAACTGTCAAGACATTTATTTAGATTTTAATTCATTACCTAACAACAGTATAACATTTGTACAACAAAATGCTTATACTGAAAGCACACTGCATTCCTGAACTCTCTGACTGTGTCAGTATTGGAATGTCTCACTGTAGTTAGACCATGCTATATACCTTGATCACTGAGTTACACTGACAGACCTTCAATTTTTTTTTAACCCAGTTGATTTAACCCAGTTATTCGTCAAGGGGAAAATACTTCTGTATTTTCAGCTTTTTATCATTTTTTGCTTTATGTCTATTTCTTGTTGGACAGATTACTTCCCTCTCACTTGCTTGCATTCAAATGGCCAATGATTAGAAATTCTTCTTGGGTGGGAGCCTAATTCAGACAACAGTGAATTCAAATAAAGGCATAAAGTGCTGGAAGTTCTCAGCAGGTCTGGTGACAGAAACAGAGCTCGTGTTTCAAATGAGGTCCTGCTTTGTGTGGAGTGCGAATCTTCTGAAGTGGGAACTTAAGAACATGAATTCTGAAAAAAAGAGTTACATTTGGCTCAAATTTCCAGCAGAAAAACAGACTTACTGTAAAAACTCTGCAGGTGGGGTCATACCAAACTCAAAACGTTGTCAGGTTCTCTCTCCATTGATGTTGATTTCTTTCTGATTTTATTTCAGATCTGCAGCATCCAGTCTTTTACTTTTTGAGTATTTCCAGTATTTTATTTTGATTTCAGATTTCCAGCATCTGCAATATTTTGCTTTAACTAATGCTGGATATTTTCATCTTCCTGTTTTGAAACACTTAACTCATCATTGCCCTCCACTCCCACTCCCCATCACATGCTTATTTTTGCATTCACTCAGTATAGCTCATGGGTCAAGGCATAAGTTTCAAAATTTGTTCACTCAAACCACCAGCAGGTATAAATAATCCACAATGAGTTGCTGAATAAAACAAAATCAATTACAAACTACAGGAGTTCATTGCAGCGAACTTCAAATGAATAATTTATACTGTGAGCTTCTTTTAAAGTTGGTTTCTCTTCTCGCTGTCCAGGATGTCAATCCACAATTATTTGCAAAGTGCACAGTTCAGACAAAAATATGACACTGCCTCGATTTTGGAAACTTGAGGTACGGCCAGAACATTGTGCTGCCGAGAATTACTGACTGGAACCATGTGGACTTCACAACAGTCTGATCCTTTGTGTTTCATTTATCATCCTAATCAACCTGTTGAGAGATGTGATGATACACCTGTGGAGCAGGTGGGACATGAAGCTAGGCCTCCAGGGTCAGAGGTAGGGTGACTACCACTGGACCGCAAGG